ACCATATTATTCCCTACTTATCGACTAAATCAATATTAAAGCATATCTAAAAGAATATTTGCTAACCTATAATCAAAATCAATTATCAACAACTTAACATTTGCATAACTTAAGCAATACTCATTGCATATTTCTCAAACCTTATCACTCCTCACTTTACCATTTAATCAAATATACCTTCAATTACATTATAATAATCATTCTCTCTCCCTCTTTCTCCTTTCACCAAGTTAAAACTAACATTTGAGACAGCAAGAATAAAATCATTCATTTATCTCGGGAATAAAAGTGACACATTGATAACTTATATAATGTTTTTTATACTTTGTCATATTTTATCACTTATCACTTGTCCTTATCACTTATCATTCAATTATTTGCGCTATTCCACTTAGTTCCTCATCGTCTACCAGTAAATCAGACAACACATCGGTGTAATCCCTTACGCCCAACCATACATCCATCAACCAACCTATGGCGACCGTTTTTCCGGACATTCCATTATGCTACTTTCACTGGATCACAACGTGAACAAACACATTTCATAAATTTTTTTTTCTTTTTCATTAAATTATAATAAACAATTATTATTTTGAAATTCAAAATCAGAAAAGAAAAAAGAAGTGTAGTTTGAGCAATAATAGAATAATATCATACGTAAATCAATATATTAATGAAAAATTTACAAACTTCTCTCTTACTCATTCATTTTAATAAATGGAAAAAAAAAATGAAAATTAAATGCTATCTAACAAGTTATAAAATAATGTCATATCTATGTTAAACAAAATCTATTAATAAAAAATTTATAACGCTCTCTCATATTTATTCATTTTAATAGTTTAAAAAATTTTTTCATCATATTTTAAAATACAAAAAAAAAAGGAAGAAAAAAATTTGAAAAATTGAATGACAAAAAAAATGCTATATAGTTTATAATTTAAGGTAAATTATACTACATAAATTTTTTTAAAATAAAAAATAAATTAATAAAAAAAAGAAGAAAAAAAAAGAAATCATTCACCGCCTAACGAAATAGCCTATGGGGTGGAGTTTAATATTGTCAATGTTATACGGATAGTACCGATACTGTAAAATATTGTTTATGCTGACGAGTAACAAGCTGTTTACTGGTAAAAGGCTCAGTTTCTGATTTATAATCAATGATTGAAATTTTTTGATATTTGCATTCCTTTTTTTTTTACTCTTTAAATTGTGTGCTTTTATTTACATTAGAGTGTTTAGACACGTCATCATAATTTATTATTTTTATTGCTATTATTATTATATTATTGTATGTGTCAGAATTTAAATTTTTTAACGTTATAATTGTCATTTAATTGTGTAAAATATTGTTTTTATCATGTAAATTCCAACATATTTGTTCGAAATATATGCTTTGAACATTATGAAATTTATGATATGTGTGTGTGTTATGCATTTATTGTGTTAGTGATTTTGAACGAATGTTACAAATAAAACATCATTAAAAAAAGGCAGATATTAGTTCGATAATGACAGAAAGAAATAAGTAGTTTCAGGGAATCGTAGTTAGTATCGCTCGTATATGCTCTTCTCCATCATTAGTTAGGAATACTGTACCGGAATTTTGTATTATTACGGAATAGATAAGTAATCGTAATTGATTTATTGCTCAAATACAATACATGCAGATTATATCTTATTTTAGGTGTTAATGTTGTAGTAATTATTTATTAATCAATCACACAGACTTGCTCGATAATTATCTGGATATTTCGGATAACGGGTAATGAGCTAATGGATATCTCATTTTTTTTCCTACCACTATGTCTTTTTCATCAGCTAATGCTGATATCAGCTGGACGAGATTTTTACAAAATTTTAAAAGTGCCACGTAGTGCAAGTCGCAATCAAATCAAGAAAGCGTACCGAACACTTGCTAAAGAATTCCACCCCGATAAACGAAATAATGATCCATTGGCACAGGAAAAATTCCAAGATATAGGTGCCGCTTATGAGGTTAGTGTATTTTTTTTTTTTTTAACATGTGAATTTTGTTTCCTACATTTTGGCTAAAGTAATTATTGGATTATTGTCCAATATTTTTGTTGATGATGATATTATTATTCATATAGATAAATGTTGCATCAAAATTTAGGACTGTTCTCTAGTAGCTTATTTATAGGTTTTAAGCGATGATGAGAAGAGGAAAACATATGATCTTCACGGTGAAGAAGGCTTGAAAAATGCAGGTGATGGTGACAGCGGAAATTTCTACGATCCATTTTCCTCATTCTTTGGAGATTTCTCTCGTAGCAGACACCGTGAAGAGGGAACACTTCGTGGTGCTGATGTGGTTATGGACTTATGGGTTACTCTCGAAGAAGTGTATAATGGAAATTTTGCAGAAGTAAAGAGGTTCATAAAATATTGTTTTAATCTTCCTTTTTGTTTCTTTAATGACATTGGACGAATAATTAAATTTTTACATTTTCAAAGTAATTATGAAAATAATTTAATAATGAATTTTATAAGCCCCGTGCACTTTATATGAGTTCATTATTGACTATATGCAGTAACTATTAGAATTTGGTAAAGTATAGTAGATTGATTGGTGTTTGAAAAGGATATGAAATATGTTGTCAGAAATGCATTTTGAGTTATTATCCTGAGGACTTTCATGGAAAATTCATGTCATTACAGGGTAAAATCATTATACAAACAGACATCAGGTACAAGAAAATGTAACTGTCGTCATGAAATGCGTACCGAGCAGTTGGGTGCTGGTAGATTCCAGATGTTTCAAGTGAAAATTTGTGATGAATGTCCAAATGTTATGCTGGTGCAAGAAACGCATTTTCTTGAGGTATGTTATCTTGATCGTAGAAACACACCTTATATATTCATGTCACTAATAATAGGAAAAAGGGATGTAAATATTACTGTTGATATTATTGAGTCATTTATTTGGTAGAATCAGTTCTTTCAGGTAAAAGACTCTTATTCTACAATCATTTTAATTTATTGTTATAAATGTTATTGTGATATAATTAATCATCGGACTTTTTTTTTCAGTTCTCATTTATTATTGGATGAATCTTCCTTCACTTACACTTTTTTTTTTCAAATGAATATAAATGATTTTTATGTTTTTTTAAAGTATTTTAGGTTGAGATTGAAGTGGGTGTGGATGAAGGACATGTGCAAACATTCGTAGGTGAAGGTGAGCCACATATTGAGGGTGATCCGGGTGATCTGAAGTTTGTAATCAAAATCGATAAGCATCCAATTTTTGAGCGACGTGGTTTGGATCTATACACTAACATCACTATTTCATTAGAAAGTGCACTAAAGGGCTTTAAAACGGAAATAACCCATCTTGATGGACATAAAGTTGAAGTAAGCTAAAAATTTTTTTACTCTGCTTTAAATATATCTTCAGATTCAATATTTTAAATAAGTTTTACATTTCATATAATATTGAAATATTAGGTATTTCATTCTCAGTCTTATTGAAACCTCCCTTTCATTATTTGTTACAACACATTCCTTGTTAGTGAAATGTTGTCAGTTGGATCGTAGAATTTTGCAAATTAGCTGTTATCATGTATAAACTCTTCGTTTTTAAATAAAATTTTGCAAATGTAATATGTGTTTAAATCTTTGCCAAAAAAAGGTACTTGTAAAGGATTATGGAGGATATTTTTGATTAATTCATCCCCATAAAATATAAATAAATTGCCGTAGTTTCAAATGACTAATCTATTTTATAGGTTGCGCGCGAAAAGATAACTTGGCCAGGTGCAAAAATAAGAAAAAAAGATGAAGGATTACCTTCGTATTCCAACAATAATAAGAAAGGAATTCTCTATATAACCGTTGATGTCGAGTTTCCTCGTGGAGAATTAACTCCTGAGCAGAAAGAAATTGTTGAAACACTATTGAAACAAGAATCTTTTCAGCCAAAAGTATGCTTTTATATTATACTAATCTTAGCGGCATTTTCAAATAGCTTAGAGGTAAAATTCTTGTCTTTACTGAGGTTAGGGATACTTTGTCTGCTAAGTAAATTAGGCAAGAGCTGATGGCAATCTTCTTTACTTCGGTTTTTTTTTTTTTTTTTTTTTTGAAATTTGTAGTTTCATCACTAGATGTGTTAAGAAAGATGCTATTCCGATCTGAAATTTCAGGTTTACAATGGTTTGCAGATGTCATGACAGTAGCCATTGTTTATTACATTTGGTGTGATAAGGTCATTTTATTTAATTCTAGTAAGATATGTGTAGTTAAGTTATTAAAGTGTTGTCGCATTCTTGCCATTGTTTTTTACTTGTTGGCTATATTTACATTTGGAATAATTGTTGTTGCAGAAAAATAAATTGTGATATTTTAATTTGGCATCACATCTTAATACATCAATGTTTTCTTACATCAGTGCTTATTTTTTTACATTTTTGGATGAAAATGGTTGATAATAAAACAGACTGGAAACTTGCTGCTTAAGAGTGCTTATTTAGGTCGATTCGTTGTTCGACTCTTGCTGTCGAGAATGAAGCTTCTTACCTCATTCGTACGGTAGTATCAATTGTTTCTTCTCAGTCTAATATAACGATGAACAATTTTGGAGCCATTTTTTCATCATATGGCAGCTTAAATTGCGCACTTACTTCCATTGTTCCCCTTTACTTTACAATTTAGAGTATTGTGCCTTATATTATATAAACGTTACTAATATCAATTCTCTCAATATTCGCACGCATTAAACTGGGAAATTAATATTTTGCCTTTTTTATGGCAGTTATATGAATTCCTTATTATTTGTTTACTGAAACTCTTTGAAAGCTAAATTAATTTGAATTCTAACTGTTCTTATGTATAAGAAAGTCGAGAGCAATAACGGCAACAGCACTGGAGCAATAAGAAGCAAACAAATAACTACAAATTTAAATTGTCCCAATAGTTCAAGTAATATCAATTCTGATTTCTTTATATCAAAATGATATACTTTCAGGAGATCGATGAATAGTCCATGTAAACACATTGGTATAAATCAGCGAGCGTTATCGAAAACCCTTAATAGTGTTGTTTATGCAGTTATATTTCCCAATAATGCTAAAGCGCGAGAAGTTCATGTAAGTTTTAATTGATGTCTGATTGATTAATTGAATGTTCGATTGATCGATTGGTTGATTGATTAATTGATCAGTGTACTGAAAAATATAGTAATGAAATATATTTGATATTTCAACATGTTTCTGTATTGGAAATGATATATAATTAGATTAGGCATTTCTCCATGTATGACAAGTATGTAGTCGTGAGAAGTATAAACTGCTTCAAAAATTTCTGATCTAAAAAAAAAGATGATTTTTAAGTTAAATAATATTGTGGATTAAGTCAACTGCATATACTAAAATTCTATGGCAAATTTAATCCAAATATTGATATGTTACTACTAAAGTAGGAAGAACAGTTCATTTGCCAATGTTTTATATTGCTGAGTAAAAGATATTGCAAGCATATGCTATTTCGTTAATCTTTCAATTTATCTTTAGCTATTTATTAATATCACAAGCTTAATTTATTAATAAATGGTTAAAGTATAAATTCTTTGAATACATTTGTAATTTTGAGATTTATCACTGTAGCAATAATTTTTCTATTTTACTAAAAAGTCGTCCAGTTGCTCTATTCATTTTTCATATATTACTGTCAGTAATTATTTATCTGTTCATTGTTTATATTACTCTCAATAAGAACAATAATTATTTGCAGGCTAGATATATTAGATGTATTCAATGTAAAACACGATTGAATGCATTGATGTGCGCATGTTGTCAATGTTCAACATTTGCATGTTTAACACATATACACGATCATATGGCAGCCAAAGAGCATCTCTTCGGTAAGGTAATTTTCCTGCTTTCTACAACTAATAATTCTCATTTATGAAGTGAAATCCTTTCAAAATAATTTTTTCTCTATTTGCAGCGGTTTCTGTCGAAACAGGTTTTATTTATTGTTACCAGTGTGGTGATTTTGTATACGATCGTGCTATGGAGGATGCTCGACGTGATGCCGAAAATGGTTGCCGACGATCATTAAACTTAAGTACTCGGAGTATTTGGTATCCAGGTGCAGCTGTTGTTGATGTATGTCATGATGATCCAACTCGAATGGTTCGATTTTCGAGGAGTAGTATCAGAGGTAATTTCAATATTAAACATATTAGTTTATGGTATTATCTAACAAGTAATATTATTATTAACCATTATGCAACTATATCATATAATATGATATAAACTATAAATTAATGTCTAAAATTGTATAAATTTTGTGCTTACTAACCTAATTTATCATTTATTGCAAATATTGGAACTATGATTTACGACATAGTTTTCATTATAGGTTTACGTGGATTGGTGAATTTAGGGAATACGTGTTTCATGAATTGTATTATACAAGCTATTGTACATACACCACATTTAAAGGATTATTTCCTTACTGATCAGCATCATTGTGCGTCATCGTCATCACATAGCAAAGCTCAATGTCTCATGTGTGAACTTGCTAATACTTTTCAGGTAATTCTATATTCAATGATAAGTTTTGTTCACATCTATTACTCATTATGCCTGGATTGATATTGTTTTAGTGAGCGGGTATGAATTAAATTAGTTTTTAACAGAAATGGATTGAATTTAGTTGTTTTTCTTTCCTAAAAAATTTGTTGCAGTTTGCATTCCTTAGATCTTTTTCCATTTTTATTCTAATTCTTTTGCTGATAGAATTATCTCTTAGAAGGTTTTTTTTTTTTTTTTTTTATAAGCGAATTGCATTTGCAACAATTTTATCCAAGTATTTGCTATGTGAAAAGTTAGAATATGTTAAAATGATTCCGTTTTACTTCAATCAATTTTTGATAAAATGTCATTGATAAAATTTCACATTTTTTGCATTATCATTATGGATGTTTCTAGGAGTTTTACAAAGGTGATGTAACACCTTACAAGCCAAATCGATTTCTGAATCTTGTCTGGACACATGCAAGGCATTTGGCTGGCTACGAACAACAGGATGCACATGAATTCTTTATCGCTGCCCTTGATGTACTTCATCGACATTCCGGAAGTTAGTTCTTTTTTTTTTCATGAGTTTACCAGATTTTATTAGTTTACGACTGGTTTCTTAAGAGCTATTATTACAGGTAGCTCACTTCCTTCAACGCCAAATGAATGTAATTGTATTATTGATTGGATCTTTACCGGCAAATTACAATCTGATCTCACATGCTCAATTTGTGGGTATGCTTATGTGATGTTATTGATTAGTTTTTTTAAAAAAAAGTAAAAGTTATTTGAGAAGAAACAACTTAGTGAGCATGTAGAAGAGTGAAACGTAAGATTATTAGTTTAACAAGAATATTTAGATGTGTATCAACAACTGTTGACCCATTCTGGGATATATCACTTGATGTGGCTCAAGAAGTGTTACGTTCTCCCAGCAGTAGTTCTGGTTCACCACAACAAATTACTTTGGAAGATTGCTTACATAGGTAAGTCATTTTTCTTTTTCCAAAAATAGGGAAGAATAGATGCATGTAGCAGCAGCAGCAGCAGTAGCAACTACTACCAACTCTATCTAATACATAAACAAAAGTAGAAATAGAAGTTAAAGTTTTTATAAATTGAGATTAATGTAGATCATGAAATTGACGATTTACTTTCAGGTATATAATGCCCGAACATTTGGGAAGTAATGCAAAAACCAAATGTGCTCGTTGTGAAACATACGAAGAGTCAACGAAGCAACTCACCTTAAAAACTCTTCCAATGGTTGCCTGCTTTCATTTGAAGCGTTTTGAGCATAGTCACAAAGATCGGAAGAAAATGGACACAAAGATCAAATATCCTCAATTTATTGATATGACTCCGTTTACGGCTTCATTTCGTGAACGTTCCAGCGGTGCTCCAGAGAGCAGAACTAGTATAGTCACCGATTTGCTTACAACAAATCGAAATAAGTATGATTTTATTACCGGAAATAATATATACTGGGTATTACCATTTTGGTTTATCAATTTATTAGATTAAATGAAGGAGGTATACAGAATAATTTTCTTTAGTTGGTAAAGTTTTTATTAAAGGTGGTTGACCTGTTGATAGTGTTATTTATTTGCAATGTTTCATCTACAAAAGTGTAATATTTTGATTGTTAGCATTTTTTGGCAGTTGTTCGGTAGATGGAATTTTTTAAATTCAAATGATCCTGAATTTTCTTTTTTTTTTTGTGTATGTAATTATCTGATATTTAACTCAATAGTCAATTTATATATATAGAGAGAGAGAGAATTATTTCAGATACGAACTGTTTGCAGTTGTGAATCATTTGGGTACGATGGAAAGTGGTCATTATACATGTTACATCCGACATCAACGTAATCAATGGTTTCAATGTGATGATCAAAAAGTTACAAAAGTACCTACGGAACGAGTCCTTTCATCTCAAGGCTATTTGTTGTTTTATCATAAATGTCATGCTGATTATTATTAAAGAGCAAAATGGATAATTTCCAATCTGTGTATAGACTTTTGTTTGTTTTGATTTCTGTTGTTTAAATTAATCACTTATAATTATGTTTTAAACCTCTTATAGATGATAAGAAAGACTCAGGAAGGAAATCGAAGACATACTTTCAACTTTCAACTTAGGTAATGAAAATGAATGTGAATATGCCACTCATACCTTTTAGTTGTTTGTTTCGTATTGTTTATGTTCCACTTGTGCACTATTTCAACTTTCATGCTTATTTTGTCTTTCGAGAATAAATAATGCAATGATAAACACATACATACATATATTGATACAGCAAGACAACTTATTCATATTTTTTGTCTAATTAACTTATAGCATTATGAGATATTCTTTTTTTGGAAATTCATCATCATAGAGAAAAAAAAGATTTTTTTTTTTTGCTATAATAATAAAATCCAAAATCTTATTGGTAAAATCATTATGATTAAATTTGTTGTAAAAATTTGATGTAAAATTTTCTCATTGTTATAATTATCTCAATTATTTTTTTTGCTTCAAACAAAAAAAAAAGAAAAGGAAATGAAATGTCCTTTGAATTGATGCCAAATGCTATTATCACAACAAACATAGAATGCATTTGAAATAATTCCTTTAAAAAAAAAGAAAAAATTAGAAAATAAAAAAAAGAAAAAGAGGGAAACATTTCGATACTGTATGAAAGCACCAAAATAAAATAAAAAGCAAGAAAGCACTACTTTAATTTTTTGTATAAAATTACAACGAATCAAATCATTTCGAGGTGATTTTTTTGTTTATTTTTCTTGAATGAAGCATTGAATGCAATGAAATGAAATATTTCATCCAAATATGATTATTATACTTTTTTTCTTTATTATTATTATTAGTATTATTATTATTATTATTATTATTATTATTATTATTATTATTATTATTATTATTATTATTATTATTATTATTATTATTATTATTATTATTATTATTATTATTATTATTATTATTATTATTATAAATATAAATGAATGCCTAAATTTGGAATAATTCTTGCTTGAATGAATTCATATTTGATATACTGTTTCATACAATTTAGTCTTTCCTTTTTTTATAGCAATAATATCATAAAAGTGAAAAGAGGAAATAAGAGGGAGGGAGGGAGAGAGAGAGAGAGAGAGAGAGAAAGAGAAAAAAAGAAGAAACAAAATTAACCAAAATGATACTATAATGTAATATTAGGAAATTGATTTTTCTACATTTAAAACTAAAATTAATGATTATAAACCTTTTGGCTATCATTTTTCAAATTCTAACTTTTTCTTTTCCTTTTGATATGCAAATATTTGCATCCTTCTCTCTTTTTTTTTCTTTGTTTTCAACAATACAATGTATTATCATTTAAAATTTTGAGATGATAACAATGATTACAAAACATCAAATAAAATCTAACAATTATTTGTTCTTAGTTTTTTTTTTTTCTTGAAATATTGAAAAATTTTATAGCTAGCAAAAAGTTTCATATTCATAAATAATATTAACAACAATAGCTTTGGTATTGTATGCAAATTTTAAAGATTATAATAAGATGGAAGGAGAAAAAAAAAATAAAAGTTATCGTTTTTTAATTAGCTAAACAAATAGGCTAACAAAAAGCAAAAAAAAAAAAAAATAAATAATAGCTAATAAAATCAGTTTTTTTTTTCCATTACAAAAAGAGAATTCTATTTTTCAGTTTGCTAAGTAATTATGTTAATTTATGATGATATCAGAAAAAATTTTAGATAGAAATATAAAAAAGAAACAAATTTTGTGTTAAACAAAAAAATTCAAAATAAGCTAAAATTATCATTCAAATAATTAATCTTTTCAAATTTTTTGATCCAAAAAAAAAAAAAAGAATCATATCACTAAACAATTAATAGTACTTCACTTGTTTACTGTATAATTTATTTCATAGTTTTCTTTTTTTTTTTTTGAATAATATTTATATCCAATTAATATTCTAAATTAAGATGAAAAAAAACAAATGACTATCAAACATGAAAACATTATGATTACTATTGAACTAATATTTCTAAAGAACTTGCAGAACTAATAGAATCACGATCAGTTTCACGAAATGTTCGTGATGATTCGAGAATTGATTCTGTAGTATTAGCATTAGCATTATTATCACCATTATCATTATTTTCTGTAACACTGATAAATTGAGAATGATCTTGTTGTTGTTGTTGTTGTTGCTCTAACATTCGTCGTCTACGTAACGTTTGAAGTGTACGTGATGCTGTTGAAGCTGTTGCATGTTTATCAGTCTTATCCAAAGAATTAACACTATTCGATCGTAACATATCATCAATTGAAACATTGATGATGATGATGATGATGATGATGATGCATCACATTTGTTATTAATTAATAATGACGAAGAATAAGAAGGAATTGATAATGGTAGAATTGATCTACATCCAATAATATTATCTTTAGCAATATTACCACCAATTGTAATACTTCTAGTATGTTTCATTTGATAAGTTGTTCCTTTTCGAAGATAATGACTAATACGTGTTAAAAATTTATGACCCATTGTTATTCGATGATTTCTATTTCGATTATAGGTACTGAATGATGATGATGATGATGATGGTGATGGTGATGGTGATGATGTCGATGGAATTGATAAATGATTACATGAGTTAAATGTGAAATTTTCAGCTGAATAATGATCAATTTGTGATGTTGATAGTATTGTAGAATTTATACATATGGAATTAGATTTATCCATATGATTAGTACTCAGAAAAAGTGGATTTGATGCAGAATTAGATATATCCGATGAATGTGTAAATGATAATTTTTGTAGTTCTGTTGATGGTGATGGTAAATCCTATAATAATTGATAATTAGTGATGTTTCTGGTTAATTGCATTTAGAAAATTATCCATTAAAATAATCAATGATGAAGAAAAGAGTTTTTTTTTTTTAAAGCTTTTCAAGGATTAATTTTAATGGAATAAATGGATAAAGAATAAATGAAACAAAATATTATGCTTTCTTAATTCATTTCAGTTAATTTTAAAGAAGCTGTTTTTTTTTTTTTAATTTGCATTAACATATATATATATATCATACCTCATTTACTTTTTCTGGTATGCTTAAAGCTTTCCTAGATTTTAATCCATCCAAAACTTTTGGTCGATCCAATAAATGTTGACATGTTGATTCCATTACACGTTTACCATTCTCGTTTGTCTTTGAAGATGGCCGACTGCAATCGTTATCCCAAAAATTTTGTGGTTTATATGATGATATCCTTTGAGATAATGTATCACAACTGATCGATTTCCCCAATTTTGAAATATTTTCGGTGTTATCACATTCCTAAAACACATACCAATTTAATATATTCTCGTCTATTTTTTATTTTAGTAAAAAAGTATTACTCTTTCCTACTCTAAAGCTAACTCTTGATTTACTCATACAATGTAAAATTTTTTGAAATATTCGATCTCATTTTAACATAAGCTTCATAGACATACTATCTTCTATAATTTCTTTCATCTTCTTTCCATGTTTTTCCACATTAAAAAAAAAAAAAAAACATATTTTAAGGGTCCAATGATGAAGAACGAATCATCTAAGACAGAAAAAGTAGTGATAGTCTAATCTGAATATAGATGAAATGAGCATCTCAAGATCACCTGAACTGGACGTATATCACCAGGTGAGTTGGATTTTGAAACAGAGGACAATGTGAAGAAAGATGTCGAAACGGTAGTATTATTGTCATTTCGACATTCTTCGTCATGTTCGCTGGATTTAGACGATAAGTTTAAATTATTTTTCTCTCGTAATCGTGCCTCATATTCCAATAATTGACCCATGAAATTGAAATTTGGTGAAATGGATGGCCTACGTTCCTTCACATACCTGTAAATTACTCGAGTTCATCAAACTAGAAAAACTTTTTTTTGGACCAGAAAAAGAATAATTTTTTAGGAAATATAAATATTTTTGATGCCGCATATGATGAACATGTGCATAACCATGTCAAATCCATAAACTGAACGGTACTATCGTACACGTTTGTACAATTAACATGCATGTCTTGCGTGCCGTATAAACGTGTACGTAACCATTCGTAAATCCACAAGATGCTATTACGCACGTGATACTTTTACACGATATACGTGTTTTATGCTTATGTTCCGTATAAAATGCAAACAGCCATAGTATAATTGTAAATATCCAAGTTTGCTTTGAATATACGATCAATGTATATATAGATATATAGCCAGCCTAAAGTAGTAATTTTAAGATGATAAATAGCCGATATCATTTGTGATATCTGCTATCGAAGCTAACCTATATGCTTGTTCAGATGTCCAATTATTTCGTCTCATCATATATGCGATAGCCAATGTTGGACTTCGAGAAATACCAGCAAGACAATGTACTAATGCTACAGAACCACGTTCACATACCTTATCTGCAAATCAATTTCATTCTTTAATTAATTTAAAAAAAAAAAAAAAATCAAATATTATCATTTAACTAATTAATAAAAAATAAAGAAATTTGAAAATTAATTATGAAAAAGTAAAGAAACCAAGAAATTACCAAGAAATTTGAAAGCATCTTCAAAATGTGGTAATAATTTCGCTTGATAAGTATCACTAATTGGTATTCGCATAAAATGACCTTCTTGTTTTAGTATATCTGGTTCAGGGCAATTTACACTAAGATTTATCACATATTTGATACCATATTTCTGCAATTATTACTATCATTTGTAATAAAAAAAAAAGAAGTAACTGATAAAAAAAAGTGAGCAAATATATTGATAACTGATAAAGTGATAAATATTACCGATAATAAGCTAGAATCCATTGCATCTTGTTGTGAACCAAGATAAAGGAATGGAAGAATTTGAGTTGGACCATCATTAGTGGTTGAAAGACATGGATTTGATATGCTTGTTAGAATATGATTACCCATTACATTTTTCTCCACATTTTCTTGTCGTTTCGTAGAACTTTCACATAAATCCGGAAAACGATTACGGAAATCATTGAATCCATCTGAAAAAGAAAATATACATATACATATATATATATATTTGGTTGGTTAATCACTAAGGAGTAGTAGTAGTAGTAGTAGTAGTAGTCTAGTGAAATTTCAACTAGCTTTGTTAGCATTCAAATGCTTACTAGCAATTAATCATTTAAAGCTAATTTTGAAGAATTCTCATGATAAGGATAATGATGACGATAGTATATTTTAAAATTCCTAATATATGCAAAATGTTTAAACTAATATAACAATAATATATGACTTCGTTTTCTTTTCAACTTATTCTTATCAATGAATCATCAAAAGAAATGAAATAGAATTAGAAGAAACTTTTAAAAGACATTTTAATCACAATATTTCCTCTACACTAACTAACTAACTACTACTATTGCTATTGCTATTATTGGTTATTTATAAAGGAAAAATGTATGCCATAGCAAACAGATTTCAATTTCAATATTTTTATTTATTTTATTGATTTATTATTAAACAGTTTAAATAATAATCCAGTTATAACAATTTCAACTATGTTAGTACTGATTAAATAATAATTAATAATGAAAATGAGAGAAATAAGAAAAATTAATATTAACTAAAACAATTAATACTGATAAAAGAAAAATATATTTAAGAATATTACTGAGAAGAAAAAAAAAGGAAAAAAAAAACAATTATTCCTAAAGCTATAAGGAAAGAAAAAAGAAAATGAAATAGATGTAAATTAATTTTATAAATGTATATAAAATTTATTAAAAATATGAATGGATAAATAAATTATGTTGAATTAAAATTTGTGAAAAAATTATTATAAAATAAAAATTTAAATTCATTTTCCTTTCTTTCTTTCTTTTTTTGTGTGATTTTTGTTTTTTCTTGTTTTTAGAATATACTTACAAGATGTAGATGTGGAAGGTTCATCCGGTGTCAATTGCCTGATGGTACATGGCCGATGCATTCCGGTATTCCGGCTAGCAAAAAGTAGCAATAGGAATAGCAAATAACAAACAGGAAATAAATAAATAAATGAATGAATGTTACTTCGAAAGAGACTCAAATTAGGAGCAAAAAATTTGTTGGTATAACTACCCCATTTGCCATTTGATGATTGAACATAAATATGAATTCTTCGTCTTTCTCACTTTTCCCCTCTTAATATAGGAAGAATTTTTCGTTAAATTTCATATTAAAAAGATAGAAAAATAAAAATGACAACAAAGAAAGCGTAAAAGAAATTAAATTAGAAGCAAAAAAAAAAATAAATAAATAAATAAATAAGTGAATTAGTTTCTTTTAAAGAAAAAAAAAGAAAGATGAGGTACGATAAAAATGCCAAAGTTAAGCTATGTAGATAGTCATCATTATCATTATCATCATTACTATCACTATCGTCATCATCGTCGTTGTTGTCATCGTTGTCATCGTCGTTGCTTCATTGTTGTTTTCACTGCCAACATTATATTACTGCTGTTATGGCCTTAGGCTTTCGACTAGCAAAGCGTATAGGCCTGTTTCGCTCAATACTTATTCATAGTAGTGAAAATGTCACACACAAAATGTTAACCAATAATATCTAACTTTTTTTTTTCTTTTTTGTTATAGTAGCAGTGTCTATTATTTATTATTATTATTATTATTATTATTATTATTATTATTATTATTATTATTATTATTATTATTATTATTATTATTACTATTGCTATTTATTTGTTTATTTAACTTACCTATTTATGCCTATTATTATTTATTATTATTATTTTTTATTATTTATTATTATTATTTATTATTTATTTGTTTATTATTATATTATTATCTGTTTGTTTATTATTATTATTATTATTATTAATATTATTATTAACTATTTAATCACTATTATTATTAACTATTTTATTATTATTATTATTATCATTATTATTACCATTATTATTATTATTCTTAATTAATTAATTATTATACTAGTATTACACTTTCTTCTTACTAGTCGTATACATTTAGAAATAAAAAACACATGCTATTGTCAACCGGATAGAAAATATCGATAGTGAACAGGAAAGAAAACATTGATATTTTAAAATTTAAATTAAAATAAAAATGATAGAAAAATTATCATCGATTTATTATTATTATTATTATTATCATTTTGTTAAGCTAAAAAATACGGAAACCGATATTAGTCTTTTTTGATGCCTTACATCAAACACCCATATAATATAAGCAGCAAGCGTAAACAAATTCACAGCTTTCTCAATTTACTAAAAGCAATATAATAACTTGTTCCCTCTCTCTCTCTCTCTCCCTCTCCCTCTCTCTCTCTCATTCTTTCCTCTCCTTTTTTAGTCATTCATCTATCTTCACAAGTCTAGTCTCTCTCTCTCTCTCTCTCTCTCCTAATCACAATTTTCTTCTTTTTTATTCCAAAAAAAAAAGAAAGAAAGAAGCCTAGTTTTATACTTTCTTACATCTTTTCTCTCTTACAAATTTTCAATTACAAAGAAAGACTAAATCATTTTATTTATTTATTTTATTCATTTTCTTTCAATCTCATCTATTCAACAAAACCATAATATTTCTCTTTTTCTTTTCTGTCTGTTCTCATTCAAAAAAAAATTAAAAAAAAAAGAGCCTAGTCTTGTCTATTTCTCTTCTGGCTAATATTAATATAGATTTGCTTCTTGAAATTGACAACAATTCTTATATCTCTTCAAATATTTCAAAGAAACCATTTCTTACAACAATAACAATAACAGTAACAACAACGACAACAATAACAATAACAACAATAACAATAACAATAACAACAACGACAACAATAACAATAACAACAATGACAATAACAACAATAACAGCAACGACAACAACAATAGCAGTAATAATAAATACTTACAACATTATTGGTTAATTTTTTAACTGGAATGATCTTTGACCTTAACTTTGAGCTTAATAAATCAAAAAGGAAAAAAAAAGCACAAATAATCTATAAATGTGATGAGAGAAAGAAGTAAAGAGAGTGAGAAGATCGGAAAGAAAAAAAATAAATAAACAAATATTATTGAATAGACGAATAAATGGATGGATGAGACAGAAAAGGGTATGAATATGTTATTGTTGTTGTTGTTATTGTTGTTGTCACTGTTGATGACATGTTTTTGGGAAGATGACAGATGGTAGTTTCAATGATAATCATAATGATCATCATCATTATCATCATCATTATCACTATTATTATCTCATTGCCATCACTGTTATCAATATTATCAGTAAACATTACTGTTATCATTTAAAAGCAATCATGTGACATCTTTCTTTTTCCATTACATTCATAATAACAAATAATAGCAGTAATAATTAATAATCATAACAATAATAAATAAATAAATAAACAAACAAATAAACAAGTAAATATTAGAAATAAGTAAATAAATAAGTAGTAGTAGTCAACTTACTGATATGATTTAAATAAATTGTAAATATGATGATTTAAAGCTAGCCGAAATATCCCAAAAAAAAAAATTCAAATGCTTGAGAGTTAACACCTTGTTACATTATAAAATCAACAACAACTACTACATCTGTAGTAAACTATACACACACACACATACACATACATACATACATACATACATACATACATACACATACATACATACATACATACATACACATACACATACATACATACATACATACATACACATACACATACACACATACGTATATAACTGCCTGAAGTAATAAGGTGCTGACTCATCATCATCTATTGCCATAGCACTGCAACAGTGGCAATAGATGATGATGAGTCAGCACCTCCCGATGATATATTTATTCATAGAGAGAGATGTATGTATCACAGTCATCACTAATCATCTCTCTCTCTCTCTCTCTCCGTCTCTTTCCCTCTGTCTCTGTTTCTTTTTCTCCCTCTCTCTTATATTTTTCATTTGTAATTAGTATATCTATAAAATGTTTTAATAATAAATCAAAAGATAAAAATCAGTTATTGAAAGAATCTTTTTTTAAAAAGAAAAATTACTTAACATAAATGATCAAAGATCAAAAAAAGTACACAAAATGTTTTAAAATAATAAAATTATAATATCATTTCTAATCATTAAAAAATTACAAATAATTAAATAAGATAAATTCGAAATTTTCAACAATTAATTAATTAATTAATTAATTAATTTTGGATTATTTTTTACAATTCATTTTGTGAAATATTACGAGTTTTTATAACACATTATTTCATGTTCTATGACCAATATTTGTCATTTAATTGAATGACATTACACATCCAAATAATCAATCGATCAATCAATCGATCGATCGATCCATCGATCGATTGATTGATCTATTTATCTATTCATTAAATAAATCTTTTGGTCAACTAATTCTAACAAAATTTTACACTTATTTACAAATTTTTTTAAAAAAAAAAAGAAACAAAATATTTTCTTTTTTCTTTTTATCGATTTGTAAACGATGAATTAATCTAATTTTACATTACTTAATAAAAAAAAAAACTTCGTTTCACGTTTACCTCGTAAAAATTTTATTTCACGATTACTTAATATAAACTTCATTTTAGCTCTACTTTATTTCACGTTACTTAAACTTTATTTCACGTTACTTAAACTTTATTTCACGTTACTTAAACTTTATTTCACGTTACTTAAACTTCATTTCACGTTTCACCATTCTCAACTATTTACTTTACTGTTCTATTAACTAATTTTAATTTTGACAAAAAAGAAAAAAAAAAAGGAATAATTCATCAAATACACTTTTTATTAGGTGATATTTTAAAAAAAACAGAGTATATACATACACACATACACATACACACATACACACACACACATACACACACACATACATACATATACAGAGACATGCATGTACACATACATACACACATACACATACATACA